GACGCCTTGGATTCTTTGTGAAAGCAAGGCGATTAGCTTGGGAATGTCCTTGTGTTCGTTTCTCTGCCATAGCATGGAATATGCTTTTGCCAGGTTGTATCCTTTGGCTGAAGGGAAATCAGATTGAGATGGACACGTCAGGGAAAATGTAGAAATCCCCATGTTTTCCATTATCAAGCATAGCGACTCTGCCATTGAATGTCTATTTAGGGTTACTTCGTTTTGCGTAATAAGGGAAGCATTGGTTGCATTCGGAGTTCGGTGTACAATTTTGCAAACATCGAACGAATAGCTTTCCATGTCAAATTGGATTGCTATCAGATTAAATGAGTGGTATAATGAAGAGGAGAATGCAATTTGCACGGCATCTGAAAGGGGCTTTGGCTCTGATGCCAAAATCTTAACCAGAACCCCTCGACTGCAAATAGAGGGCTCATCGCCAGATGAGCCAGTAGAACAGCTGCTCTGAGCAGCACCGATCGTTCCAAGGGTATTTAGGGCCCTGCCGTTTGTCAAGAGAACAATTCTTTCTAAAACTTAACTCCTGCATACAATACTGAGCTTTGTGTTCAAGGCCTTCCAGGTGCCAAGCATATCGGAATCTTGGCCCCCAATAATGTCACAATTCGCCCAAGTGTAGAGTCGTTTGGTAGGCCTGTTGAATAGCTCTTCGCGATTAAATAGTGCCGATCTAGGGTCAGTACTTGTGTAGCAACGGTACATGGTGTTGCTGTTCGATGTTCCCTCAACGTGCACAAGAGCAATGCACATGTTCAACAAAAGTTTGAGAAAGTTTAATTATCGGCAGCGGCATCCGATTTTTGCAGCAATTTAATGTCAATTGGTAAAAATGGCCTCCCCCAATTTGGGAATGCATACCCCCATGCTGGAGATTTAGACTTGGCTCCAAAGCGAAAAGATGCCATGAATAACCTGGATCTTTCCCATATGGAGAAAGTGCTTTCGTCATTGAAAACAAGCTGGAAGCCCTTTCTTAATCAAAATGTATCAAATGTGCACGCCACTAACCGGAACGTAGTTTAATGCCTTTATCTCTGCCATGGAGATTGCAAATTCCCCATCGCAGTCGGCGAACAATGTTCAGGCCTACGAATCTTTGCATTTAGAGCTAGAAAGAGCCATGGACGTCGCTACCAATTCTTATCACAACGAGTTGCAGGCAATAGCGTCGAAATTTTCGTCCATCAGCAACAACGTGCTGGGTATTTTGCCATATGCTTTTCAGTGTAGACGCGCGATCCAAATTTTCTTCATACAAAAAAGACTTCCAAAAGTCTAAATGCTGTTTGGTGGGATCCCGCTTCGACCTCACTACGCTTTATATTTTGATGGAAGAAGCCAACTTGCGCATTTTGATTTTATCGCTCATGTACGCGTGCATTGTGTTTTTATGATGGCAGGAAAAACCTGGGGTCGGTCCCCAAAAAGATCGAAACGTGTTTGGAGCAAGAAAAATACATCGAAGCTTGCGATTTGCTACTTTTGTCGAAGAAAATCCTAAGCTCAAGCATCTTTTGTTCGATCCATGCGCTATCGCACATTTCTCATCTCATTTCGTACGAATATAAAAACGTATTTCCAAGCTTTTGCGCTGATAACATTTAGGGGTTGGAGGGCGTTCTTTGCTCTCGCCTGTACGACACGGTTTTTTTAAAAAACCCGTCGTCGTGCAAACGGATTGGATCCTTTTACACGTCGCTTATTGAAAACTATAGCTCCAGCTCACATTCAGACACATTTTCGCTTTTTGAAATTGTCGATGGTTTGTGCAAAATAGAAAGCATCTACAATGCCCTGAAGGTAACAACTACGTATTCGCCCTAAAACTGCCAGACCATAAAGAACGCATACAAACTGCAAATTGATGCATGTTTCTCCCTGTTTGAGGAATCGGGCAGAGGACATTATCCCATCAGTGATGAGGAATGGCCCCCTTTGCTTTCGCTAGAGAAAAACATGATATCAATTTTTGCGGATAGAGTTATATGGTCGTTGGCAAAGCTTCTGGCCATATTTGAATTGACAATCCTATTGATCATGCATTTGGAAAGGAAATATGAAATCAAGCAGGCGTCCATCGGCATATTCATTGGCTCCGTTCAGGGAATGATTCAGAAGGCAGTACGCCATTTTTGGATGTTTCCGTAACTGCTGTAGATCGTCGATAATTTGGCGCAAATCGGACCCATTTCAAAATCGCTGGAATCGCTGAATTTGGATGGTGTTCCCACGTGTTTGGATGTTATCAGCAACCCTCAGGCACAGATAGATGCAAACGATGTAAATGCTTCCATTCATTTGTTAGATGCTCAGATTCAGGCTAACAAACCTCTCCATCAACGATCCGTTTGACCTCAATCTTGATGCCATTTTGCATCAAAATGGCACCACGGTATACAATCGGGGGTCGATTGAAGCCAATGGCGCTATGCCAGATGTTTATTTAATTCCCGCGGACAAGCCCGTTGAGTCGATGTTTTTTAAAATGATCCCGTCTTCAAGAACAAGATCCCTGCTTTTTGCCTTTACATTCAGGTAGCGTTTATGCTCCATTGACGGCATTAGGTATTTTGTAAAGTTTGAGCAGATTTTGGCCTCCCTAGTCAAATAAACAAGTAAATCATAAGCAAGTAACCCATAAGCAAGTAACCCATAAGCAAGTAACCCATAAGCAAGTGGGCTTGCACTAAAATTTAATATTCTCAATTTATTCCGAAAAAAACTGGTTGATTGATGATGTCCACCTCCGCTTCCATGGGTCCTGTTGTCTCCCCATCCCAAGGTACTTGTTGTTGTTACAAAAATAGGGAACAATTTTGGCATTTTAGCCATGGAAATCTATTTTCCTTCTCTCTACGTTTCTCAGTCAGAGTTGGGTATCGGTTTTTGTGCATTATGTTTAGAGTGTCACGACAATGTTTCCCAGGGCAAATATACTAAGGGCTTGGGGCAAACAAACATGGCTGTTTGCGCGCCATGTGAAGATATTTGCTCGATTTCCCTCAATGCGGTCTCTCAATTGATGTCAAAATATAAAATTTCCTATCAATCCATTGGACGGCTAGAAGTTGGTACGGAAACATTAATTGACAAGTCCAAGTCCATCAAATCGGTCATCATGGACCTGTTTAACGGCAACGGTTGTTATGATGTTGAAGGTGTCGATGTAAAGAATGCTTGTTACGGCGGAGTTGCGGCCTTCTTTAATACCATTGCTTGGATGGAGAGCTCCTGTTGGGACGGTCGGCTTGGGCTCGTTGTCGCCGGAGATATAGCTGTATATGAACGAGGCCCGGCTCGCCCAACTGGCGGTGCTGGCGTGGTTGCCATTCTGGTGGGGCCAAACGCCCCGATCGTTTGTAACGGGGTCAGAGCCTCCCATATGAAGCATGCTTATGATTTCTTCAAACCGAATTTATCTACAGATTTTCCGATCGTAGATGGCCCTCTTTCTTTAAAATCGTATTTTGAAGCGCTTTCATCCTGCTACCGATTATTCCGCACAAAAAGAAACATCACAAGCAAGAGCCCGCTGGATGCGTACGATTTCTATCTTTTTCATTCTCCCTTTGGAAAATTGGTTCAAAAGGCACTGTCCAAATTGGTAATCGAGGATCGCTTAAATAATTCTAGTATTATGAAGACATTAACAGTATCAATGATACGCCGGATGTATGTGCTTTTCTTATCTTTAGGAAGCACTGAATTTTGATGACAAAACCCTGGAAAATGAGATGCTTGCAGCTAGCCAGGAGCTTTTTTTGCAAAAGACACAGCCTACACTTGCTTGCTCAAGAGAGTTGGGCAACATTTATTGCGGCGCCTTGTTTTCTGGGCTGATCTCTTTGATATGTAGCCAAGCTGGGGACTCGTTGGTTGGTTTATTGTCTTAACCTTAGATCGGCAAAAAGTGCCTATTATTTGCATATGGTTCTGGATACTGCTCCTCGATGTTTGAACTGAGAATTACTTCGTCTGTTGAGTACATTTCAAAGACCATCGCGTTGAGTGAGCGGCTCTCAGAAAGGACCAAAATATCGCCCATCCAATTTTCACTAGTAACTTGCATGTCTAACTTTATAGCTGCTCGATGATAAAGGGCATGCTGAAAATGCCAAGTTCAATTCTCTTGTTCCGAACAGAACAATCGTTTTAAGCGAAATCGATGCCAAGTGCAGAAGGATATACCAAGCTAAATCGGAAAAATAAATACGAGTTTATTGATTTGCACCAGAAAGCGGTGTCTGTACGGGTCTGGTGTGCTCCATTTGCAATGTAAACGTACGGAATAAAGCATAAGGGGATGTGGGGCTGGCTAAATTACACCGGCTTCTTCCTCGCCATTTATCACTATAGCATCTAGTAGGGAAAACGGTAGACGATGTTTCCTGGAAACCGGTATGGAGCACTTTTTGGAAAATTCGGGCATATAACCGGTCAATATAAGCGATGTGCGCCCAAGTATGAAAACACTCGATTTCAACTGGCGGCTGGCTAAATTGGTGTCTGCATTGTGTGAATGGCACACTTAAATTGGAGGCAAAGCCAAAGCCTCCGAAGGCTTGTTTTTTATTTTCAATAGCCGGTATGTCTTAATGGATGTCCAAAGCGTCTGTTTATCACTGTCTCCACAACTCTGGGCTCCCCGTACCCAATCCTGCTTCCAGCCGAGTCAACAATAGTGGGCACCACAAACTCCAGCCAAAATGCAGATGGCCATATGGCTAAGCTGCCAAAAGGACATTTAAAAGCCTCTCGAGTAGATTGAATAAGCTGAGCAGAGTGGGCGAAGAGGGCGCCATCAACGAAGAATGACTTTATTTAGAAAACACCGATACTGACACGCAACATATATTAAGCTTTGGCTGTGTATCTCATCATTGATGCATGGTTGGTTGAAGAATATCTTTTCATTAAACTGGTAGGAAAAGAGTATATTTTTATGGCCAAAAAATTAATTTATTTAAAATCGAGCTCGGATGATTAGAAAGGGCTGCTTTTTGTGGATTCACCCTAAAACATCGTTGCCTTTTTTAGTGCTCTCTTCTCGTTCGTCTTATTCCATCGACCCTGCGGTTGCAAATCCCGCCACTAAAGATTCCAAAACCGCAAAGGTATTATCCACAAAGAAAACACAAGATCCAAAAGCCTCGTCTAATGTCAAAAAAGAGCCGATTTCGAAAAAGGAGCGTGATCCTGCAAATGGAGCGTTTAGCTTATCATCTCAAGTAAGCGTAGAGGATAAAGCTGCTATCTTTAATGCCAGGACTGATCATTCGACTGCTGAACGAGGATTTGAAGTCCGATCTAGCCTTGAGGAGTTTAATTCTGCTTTCGGTATAGCAGCGCCGATAGAAAATCATCCGCAAAATCCACCACTCGTGCCTGAAGAGACCGATGTGACAAATGAAAAGAATGACAGCGCAAAGCCCACCTTGTCATCCATAATATCAACCAACTTTGCGCACGAAAATCACCAATTTAATAACGCCCCTCCAATTCCAAAGAGTATTTCCAAGTTTTTTCCGGTAACCAAGAAAGTTCCGAGGCCAAAGTCTGCACCATCCTGCTCCAGGGAAGATGCCTCGCCTAAAATGGCAGGATTTACCAGCAGCAATACGGAATACACCCAAGAGCCCGATAAAGGCACATCAAAGCCGACACCGATTTCTACCTCGTATAGCGGCATTACTCCCAATTCTGCCAAAAGCAATGACGGCGGCTCCAATTCAAACTTTTTTAATAACCAAAGGCATAGAGGCCTGAATTCGTCCCACCTTCAGGGCGGATTGGTTTCCATCGTCCCAAAAGACGCGCCGCTTTCAAGCCAAGACCATTTTTATTCATTGATTTCAAAAAATATCTCCGAAGATGTGTCTTTTTGCGAGCAAAAAGAAATCATATTCGATGAAAACAGCGCCTCCACACATCAAGAGGTCAACTTGAAAAAAATACAAGAAAGTGTTGCTCCATCCCTGGACGTGGCCAGGTTTGGCAATTTTTCTTCCTCTTCTTTCGAGAGATCCGAGGCCAGCATTGTCAAAAGCATTTCGTTTGCCTTTCCAGCGAATCAAGCTAGTGTGATTTCGCTCCTCAATTTATATGACCGGCAATTAGATTATAATGCCACGCGCGACCTCAAAATTGAGATTTTTCTGAAGACGCTTCGTTTGCTATTTTACCTGTACAAGCCCACCGTATTCTCGGCATCGACGATCTTTAATATTAGCAAGCTAAAATGTATTGCAGAAGAATCGTCCAACTGGAGGGATATATCGCTAGTTTTCCCTCTTGAGCGGATGTTGCCATCATCGAAATCGTTCCAAGATTCCAGGATAACTTTTCCAATCGAGGTGCATATTGCCGTCATGAGCATCTTGGACAAAATCAGGGCAAAGCTATTTGCGTACGAATATTACTTGGAGTTTCTGATGAAAGATCCTGTTCCCTGCTCAAATCCGATCTTGTTGCGAAATGTAATAAAGGCGCTGTCTAGCCACCAGTTTGCTTCCAAGTCTGTGTTTGACCATTTCCTTAGAAACGGCGGCATTCCAACACCGGACATCGTTGTGGATCTACTGGCAACCCCGAATTTGATTGATTCCGCATGCTTGTATGAATCGTATTTTGACCAGTATATTAAAATCCCCTATTTAGAGCAAAAAATCCTTCCAGAAGAAGCCAAGAAAATCGATGACCGGCAACTCCTGCAAGCAACAAAGTCGATGTTGGGGATGTATGTTCGAGGAGCAATGTCGTGTCCATCGTACAACCAAAACAAGATTTTTGCTCTTAAATGCTGGATCAAAAAGTATGCACCATCGGTAGCGTGCAGCCCAGACTTTCATATTGCTTGTAAAATAGTTCTCAAAGAGAAGCCACAGCAGGATCCAACCTTGATCTTGGATTAAATTGGTTAATTAAATAAAATTTAAGTTATTTTTTTATGAAAAGCTGCAAATTGGAACAAAAGACTCCCGAATGCCACACGTTGTTCGTAAGGAACAGAGATCTGGGAGTGGTCTGTAATTTGCTGCCTCCTGTGTTTCAGAAGAGGGAGACCGCTTACTATGTGGTTGCCTGCACCGGGCCTTCGTTTCACATTTATGACGTCGAAAAATTGGATCTGCTGTTCCAATT